ACTCCAGCCGAGGACAATGAAGATGAAGACGCTATCACAGACATTCAGAAACTCAAAGAAATCATTCCCACAGACTTCCGTTCTCATTTGGAAGTATTTAGTAAATCCAAATCCGACAAGCTCCCAGCAACATGGACCTTATGATCATGCCATAACACTTGAAGGCAGTGCACAGCCTAAGCTTGGGCCAATCTATAGTCTATCTGAAGGAGAGTTAAAGGCTCTGGATGAATACCTCTAGGAAAACCTCAAGAAAGGATTTATACGACCAAGCTCAAGCCCTGCTGGATCACTAATCCTCTTTGTCAAGAAACCTGATGGAACTCTCCGCCTATGTGTGGACTGTTGGCAGCTCAACAGTATAACTCGCAAAAATTGTTACCCACTCCCATTAATTCAAGAATCCCTCAATCGACTCAAAGGTCCTTCATGGTTCTGCAAGATTGACTTGCGTGCTGCCTACAATCAAAGTCCGCATTGTCAAAGGCGATGAATGGAAGACAGCATTCCGCACCTGTTATGGACACTACGAATATCTTGTGATGCCCTTTGGTCTCACAAAAGCCCCTGCCTCTTTCCAGACCCTCATCAATGATGTTCTTAGAGACTTTTTGGAGATCTTTGTCATTGTCTACCTCAATGACATCCTCGTCTTCAGCAAATCAAAGGAAGAACATATCATTCATGTCAAGAGAGTCTTGGATAGACTTCAAGAACATCAACTATGAGCAAAAGCAGAAAAGTGTACCTTCTTCAAACATGAGGTTGACTTCCTAGGCTACCTTGTCTCAGACAAAGGTGTCAGAATGGACCCTCATAAAGTAGAAGCTGTTACAAACTGGCTGCCACCAAAACCAGTTCATGATGTTCAAGTCTTCCTTGGCTTTGCCAACTTCTACCGTCATTTCATCAGGGCATACTCTAAGGTCATGCACGGCACCCCTTACTCAGCTCCTTCTCAAAGAAGTCAAGTGCAATTGGGGTGAAACTCAACAAAACGCATTTGAGACTTTGAAAAAAATTATTCACCACTGCCCCTATTCTTCAACACTTCCAGCCCAACAAACCCATCGTTGTGGAGACAGACACATCTGACTTTGCTATTGCAGGTGTGCTCCTTCGTCGAACTTCGGTAGGCCTTGAATAAGGTTACTTTCTTGTACCATGGTACTTCCTTTCCCCGAGTGATAATCCGCCCGTCTAGACAACCCATCAGGAAGGCTTGCCTGAGTCCCTGGTCGATAAACCATCTTAAATCTGAAGATAGCTAACTCCTCTACCCACCTACCCTGGTGTGGACTGAGCTGTTTCGGTTCCATCCAATAGGTGAGGTTTAAATGGTCGGTAAGGACTGTGGTTTCTACCTGTAGTACAGTACCCTCCAAAAAGTCATGTCCTTGCATCTCATAGCAATTTGGCTGGGAAACTCTCTGCTTTGAATTGTGGAGCCTGCATCTCTGACACAATTTGGTGCATGACAATGAAAGTCCACTACAAAGTTATGATGAATCTCCTCTATTCAGATAGATAATCAGTTTTTCATCTTCAGTGATAAGATCTGTTGTAAACCCACTTGAAAGATGATGCATTTTGGTCAAAAAGCCGCTTTTTGGGCGGTTTTTGGCAAAACTGCCTCCTTCTCTGGTCATGGCCATGCATTTTTGTCCAACATATGTACCAGTAAAGAATGCCCAGGATTGTTCATCTTGGATAGATGTACAAAATTCATTATGACAGAAGCCATGCACATTATCAGCTGAAAGAGATATCACACGACGAAGTGGGGCATCATGAAATATCACCCAAATTACTATGAGATGCGCGGACATGACTTTTTGGAGGGTACTGTAGTAAGTGTCTTCTTCTTCGGAAGCCCTTGACTACGGCAAGGAACTCTTTCTCTCCTACCGTGTAATTCAGCTGCGCTGTATTGAATGCTCCTGATTCGATCGCTACCGGGTGTTCTTGACCAGCTGTATTAACCAGCGAAATTATGAAATTCCAGCTGAAGAACGACGCATCTGTCTGTAATATAGTCTTCAACGTAGGGTCAAAATGAGCCAACACTGACGCCGTACACATTCTGGCTTTCAACTCCTTGAAGGCCGAGTCCTGCTCTGCTCCCCACACAAACGGCACATCCTTCTTCGTTAGGTAAGTGATGGGCATAGCAATCTTCGAGAAGTTGGGCACAAAACGTTTGTAATAGCTGACAACTCCCATAAATCCCCTAGACTCTCGTAGATTCCTTGGGCGTGGGAAGGATGTGATGGCGTCAATGTAGTCTGGGTTCACTGATACACGACCACAAATCCCAGGAACACCACTGAATCTCTCTCAAATTTGCACTTACTAGCTTTCACGTACAGGCTCGCCTTCCGAAGAACCTCAAAGACCTTCGCCGTAGTTCCTCGTAATTCTTCTAATGTATTCCCATAGGTGAGAATATCGTCAATGTAGACCACTACTCCATTTCCTAGCAGTTCTCTAAACACCTCGTTCAGGAAGTGCTGGAAAACAGCGGGGGCACTCCGTAGCCCATCACGCACAACAAGTGACTCGAACATACCGTACTGTGTTCTGAACGCAGTTAGGTGTTCATGTCCTTCCGTCACTCTCAACAACTGGTACGCTCCAATAAGGTCCAGCTTGCTGAAGTACCTTGCCTTCCCGAGCTCCTCGGTAATTTGACCTATCAATGGAAGGGGGTATGCGTCTGGTATTGTCGCTTTGTTTAACTTTCGGTAGTCAAAGACCATTCGCCATTGCCCTTCGGCTTTCTTTGGTATCATAAACATCGGTGAGCTGTACGGCGACTTACTTGCTCGAATTCGGCTGGCGGCGATCTCGCAATCTAGTATGTCTCTCAGCGCGTGTCTCTGATCTTCTCCTTGAGCGTAGAGGGAGGCGACCTTCAGGTTTGCCCCCTCCTTAAGCTCAAACTTCAAATCGTAGGGCCTCGAAGGGGGAAGGGTCTCTCCTCCTTTCTTTGGGTCAAAAACGTCAATGAACTGGTGGTACTGTTCAGGTACTACCTGGAACAACTCTTCCTGTTCCTCCAGGCTCAGCTCTTCGAGCTCATGTTTGCCTCGGAGGCCGGTCTTGTCGGTTCGAGTCCTGAGCCCTATGGCTGCCAGGCTTGGGACATCTTTCGAGTGTGGAAGGGAAGGGGGTAACCCTTCTCCTTCATTCGGCTGGGGTTGGGGAAAGGACATCGCGCTTTTCCCATTGTCCGTCTGGGAAATAGGGAAGGATACAGTGTTCGCTCCCCCATTCAGGAGTACTCCCTCTTCTCTCATCCATTCCCACCCTATCACAACGTCTGTGTCACAAAGGGTGGTAACATCCAGCTTGAATGGGCCAACTGCGCCTAACTTCTCGACACCCAGTCTCACTTCGACGAACTCCGTAATGGGTCCAGCCACACTAACCGAGCCGTCGAACATGTGAACTGGTACACTCACGGGGTATTTTCTCGTTTCCTTCCTAACCCTCTTGGCTGCCCTGGGACTGATATACGAACAGGTTGCCCCAGTGTCCCACAAGGCTGTTAGCTTGATTCCTTTGATGTACACATTAGACTTGGGTTGATTTTTACAGGTGGAAGGGATTAGGGTATGACAATCGTTTATACATTTTAAAGTGGTGTTTACGGATTTATATGCACATTTACCTGGTCTCATCAGCTCTTTCCTTGTACTGGGGGTGGAAACAGTGGCCGAGAGAATATGAGTGCGGACCCGCCGAAATCGCCTATCGCGACGGGCCCCCATCTTTTTCCTCCTCGTCCATCCCCCGCTCTTCAAAACTTGTCTCTTCCCCTCCAACTGCATTGATCTTCTTCCTGTCCCCAAGAGGGACAGCGTTCCCCCGGTGCTAAACCTCCCTTCTCCTCCAGTATCTTGTCCGAAAGATCGCAAGGGAATGATCCCAGCCTTCACTTTCGCCGCTATCACAGAACAGTCCCGATTGTAATGTCCCCTCTCTCCACATCCGGTACACTTCCCTTCTCCCCTGTGTTTCAACACCTCCTCAGTGCTGGGCCTCGGCCAACAACGGTTTAGTTTGTCTACGTCCGTTGGAATTCCCCTTCCCCAGTTCGTGGCCTTAGGTTGCGACACCACCAACTTCACCGTAGATTGCCCTTTCTCCTTGGCCTTCCTTTCCCCTCCCCTATTTGCTTCCTCTCTCTTCTCTCCCTGCTCCTTTACTTCCTTCCTCTTCTTCTCATTCTCCTTCTCCACCTTTTGTTGGTGTAAACGATTGTCCATGGGGACCACGAACTCGATCAACTCTTGAATGGTTATGAAAACCTTTCCGTGGCGAGCGATTTCATCCAGCAAGTGACCTTTTGGTCCATTCTTCGCTTGGTCCACGAGGTTCCCATCATCACTCCATCCTAAAACCGCAACATATCGTTGGAAGGCGGTGAAGTACGCCAAAGCCGACCCGTTCTGTCCTAGCTCGTTTATCCATCTTGCAGCGGTTCCCTCCTCATCAGGATCTCCAAAATTGGTCTTGAGGTACTGAAAAAACTTCTTGTAGTCCAGAAGGTGCTCAGGAGGGTCGTCTTTAGGTAAATCCGGCTGGACAGCAAGGAGAGGAGTTTTGCGTAGAAAAGAGATCATGAAAAAGATTTTTACTCGGTTGGTGGGGAACTTGCGAGCGTTGATTTTGAAGTGTATTTCGCATTCTGAGATGAAGGCGGTGAGCTTTGATCTCTCGCCTCTCCAAAGGTCTGGGAGGGGAAGTTTCATCCCTCCACCCATCTCAGCTACTCCTGGGGTCACCGAAGCCTGCCTCCCCATGGCGAATCGTACCCCTTCAGAGATCCCTTCTACTATTCCCCCAACCGTCTCCTGCTCCTTCTTCTTCTCCTGTTCCTCCCGACGCTTCCTCTCTGCTATCATATCCCTGTTCATCTCCATCATCATGTTCATCATCGCTAGCATCATCTTCTGAGTTCTGGCCTCCTCCTCTGTCCCTCTTATTGCTTCACTTCACGCCGAACTAAGTCTACCTTCTGCGTCCCACTCCCTTGGTCGTGGAGTCTGTCCCGAACCTTCGGAACCCGTCCTCAAGGTTGGTGGTTCTGACAGCCCGGCCGGCTGAGGAGGTGGTTCAAGGGGTAGGGGAGGATAGAACTCATCTCCTTGGGTTGATCCTTCGGGGGTATCAATTGCTCCAGGCAATGGCCCCAAGCTTTGTCTTAATTCCTCCAACATCCTCCTCTCCGTCTCCTCTACCGTCTCTCCTGGTCTGCTCATACTTCTGGTAACTCTTTTCTCCGGCTGCATACAATTTTGAACTTCTCCGAGGTTTGTACGGGTCGTTGGTAAGAGTGATCCTTGATACTGTCACAAACATCGTTTCTTCTTCTCTACTGACCGACGGTCGACAAACCTCGGGTAACTACATTGTCGTGGGGCGTCGATGTCTCACTGAGACAAAGTACTCGTCGAGAAACTGGGGCTAACTTTGCCGTAGTGCGTCGTCGAGTGGCAAACAATAAAATGATCGTCGGGGAACTGCGGCTAACTTTGCCGTCGTGCATCGAACTGCTGGGTGGTAGCTCTCCTTAACTCAAAGGTGTAGCTACTGAATATATCTCTTGCTACTGACAACAATCAAGGATCACTGATGAAGTTCAGCGATCTGTAAACTATCTATACTTCTCCTCTCTTCTCATAGAACGTCCTTCAACTCCTGCACAGCCCCACGCTCAGTCCTCTTAGCTCAACTTTGCCATACCTTGCCATATCCCCAATATCCTACTCCTCCCACTTCGACTAACTTCGCCTAACTTCCCCTACTCTGCTCTCCCTCGGTTTCCTTCTCCTGTTACGACCCGGCTAACCAGCACCAGGCCATACACTGGCCATGCATGTGACATCTTATGCCACTGCGCTAAAAGGCACAATATCGCAATCAGGCCTATGATTGCGATCCGGTTATAACCTGATGTCACAACTGAGGCTGCAGGGTTGTGACATCTCCTAACTTTGCCATAGTTCTCCGTCAGGCGGGGTTGTCGTGACAAATGCTCCCTGGGTTCCCGTAACTTTGTCGTAGTCGGTCTCAGCGGTTCGGGGTGGTGATGGATAGTGGTTTGATGATGGTGAAAGGAGGGTCGGTGATGGTGGTTGTCAGGGATGTTACGACATGGTTCGTGACAGGTGGCTTGGGTGCAGGTGCAGGAGTTGGGGTGAGTGACAGAGACGGTGTTGAATCACCCGACAATGAGGACCGGGGTTTTTTTTCCTGCGCTTGAGAGGTTTTGCAAGATGGTAATCAAGGGACTTGCCAAGATTTCAGCTTAGATTTGGCCTTGATGGCAAGGACAGGGTTTCGGGTGATAATCGTCCTGAGCACGCTCGCACTTAAGACTCTCTTTGATATCAGATAACAAAGAGACAATGTTCAGATCAGTACCAAAGAGGATATGAATAGTGAATATGTGAGGTACTGTAAGAGGGAATGACAAACTTTTTGAACGACTAAAAAAGAGAAACTCACCTTGCACATGCATGAACTAAAGCCAAAACATCAATACAGGTTGATGATGAAGTGGGTGGCAGAATTTTACATATGTAAAGTGGGTGGCAAAATGTAAAAAGGTGAAAGAGAAAGGGAAAAGGGTGAAAGGGGGGGTTTATATCCTCAGTGTGGCAGTCAGTCGCTTACCCAGATGGCCGGCCTGAACCGGTTATGCAGTACAGAAGCAACCGAGACCCCAATGGCCGATGCCCGAGGTTAGTCATTGGAGGGGCAGGTCCGAGATCCACCTAACATCTATCTAGCATGTACAGCAAGTAGATTGACGCTCATAATCCTGCAGTATATGCATCCTGGACTTTGTATACACCATTTACATCTCAATAATTCTCAATATTGAGGGAGCGCAGGTATTTGGGTGAGTCGTCACGGGATCCTCGCCGGGACTGGGAGAATCGATTCCAGCTCGGTCACGATTATCCCTACAGAAAGAAACATCCACATGGGGGAACGAACAATGCTATCTTTCACGATGCATGTAGTCGAGTGAAACGGACGTGGCAGAAGAATCAGAGGTATACTGTTTCATGACGAGTTCAAGTTGGGGAGATGGGGAGGACGGTGGTGGAACAGACGTGGTTTGCAACTTGAATCAGCGTGTGTGTATGGTCCGAATGGTAGATTGGTAGGTTGGTAGGTCGGGACACGTGATGTGACTGCAGACCCGAGAGTTGACGGAAGCAGAGAAGGCGGGGTGGATCCGAGATTGGACAGGAGAAGAGGTTGACCCCAGAGGAGAGGAAGATAAGCCGGTTGTATGAACCCAGATTGGAGACAAGAGGCGAATGTAGGGGTTGACAACGGTTTCGGGGAGATCTTGATGATATGAGCGAGTGGTGATGTACCTGTCTTTGTCTTTGGTTTGATTGCACGGGAGGAGTACGAGTAGAGTGCGTGGGAATGCGTCAGAGGGAAGGAGATAGAGATAAAACGGACAGAAAGCGGACTGTTATGGTTGGAGGGGACGGATTGCGAACGACGACTTTTCCGTACAAGTCTGGGAGTAGAGATAGAAAGGTCAACTTGTATGATCAAACGTGGGGAAGGGGTACGTATAATGAATGTTTGGATGCGTAATGATGACGATGGTGAGTGAGCATGATCAAAGGGGAGAGAAGAGGGAGGGAATATGGAGAAATGATTGCATGAGGTGCCGTATGAAGATGTTTTATGCCTTTTACATCGACGTCATGCTTCGTGCTTTGAACTCGGATGTTGCAACTGCAGTCTTTCAACTTTGGACTTGGGTATCTTCGAACTTTGGTCGCACTCGAGGAAATGGAGAGAACGACAGCTCGGAATCGAAACTTTGATACAATGAAAGAGACAGTAATCATGTCTTGGAGTGATTCTGATTCCGAAAGCATCCTCCCCCTCTCTTGGAAAAAACCCGATGACATGGGACCAAAGCAATATCGTTTCGTGATGGTGAGAGCGAGAACCATTTGAGGGGAAACGAACACTCATCTAGAGTTTAGAGAGTTGTAGTATCGTATCGTACGTTGGACAGACGGTTCAGAACATTGTGAGAATCGTACGATAGGCCATTGTGGACGTATGTATAGAGAGATTCGTTTGGGCTCCAAAGGATAGAATAGAACATGGCGATTTTTGATATTCTTATGATTTCGAGGAATGGATGATGAGTTTTGTGGGTTTGTGGGATAAAGGTTGAGATACGTATGGTCGGAGAGATGAGAACGTATGACCACTTTGATAGGTTTTGAGGGATGAGAATGTTTGATGATGACATGCGAGCGAGCGAGTGATCAAAAGCGGGGGGGGGGGGAAGGGGGGAGATAAGGGTACGTATGACGACTGGGTATTCGTTCAACTCAATGGAATAGGGATAATGATATGTAATATCGATAACGATCCTGTTTTTACATTCGTGTGAATAGGTATAACGACTCTTGTGAATTGATTCAACAGTGATAAAGTGATAAAGTTGTCTTATCCGACCATGACATCTAGGTCAAGGTATGCAGAAATTTATCGGATACCCAAATCTCATTCGACGTACAACGGTCTGATCGTCGATACCTTTTCGGTTTGAAGACGTGGAAGGGGGTCAGGAGGGAGAAAGGACGTCAACACCTTTGCAGTTTGGAGAGGGAGAAACAACGTCAAAATTTGAAAGGTAGAACGAGATACAAGAACGACGTTCGTGGTCGGGTGGGACGATCGCGTAAGGAGGGCGTTGGATGGGTTTGAGGGACAGGTTTGAATGACGACTGTTTGCGAGATAGGAAAAGGAAAATGATAGGAAAGAGATGGTTGTGGGGATGGTGGATGAGGGGCCAGAGGTGCGATCACGAGATGGATCTGGAAGGGTGTGGACAAGGATATAAAGACGAGGGAAACGTCGACTCACTCGAACTGACCCAGCTCACCAGCCACTCAACTCGTCATCATCCTGAATGCTGACCCTCAGGAGGTGCATCTCGAGTCGGACTCGGAAACCATCTTTGGACGTGATCCAGCTGGATTCATTTGTATCATCGGTCAGTCATCGAGCGATCATCTCCCCAGTTGTTAACGATCGTTTGTCCAGTTGTTCTCGTCGCTGACAAAGGGCTTGTCCAAACACTCTCATCAACTGCATGATGTTTGAGAAACTCTGTCTACTCGTGTATCTTTTTCAAAGGTGGGAAATGTACTTTACTCCCTATCACACGTCGTCCAATAACGTCTCCTATTCCATCCTCTCCCTTTTCCTTTTCCTTTTCCTTTTGCGAATGACCGTAGGGAGATGTCCAACCCGAGTCGACCATATTTCTTCTCTTCTTCAGGGAGGGAACCATGATCAAGTTTGAGATCGAAACAGTTCTCATACGCATCTTCATCTTCCCACGTTATCGATACGGTCTCGATGGTACGGGTAGAAGAGAACGGTTCGTCGGGGTCGTCCATCCTGTCGAAATTTTCATTGTGGTGATGAGAATTGAAAAGTTTGAGATTATAGGCATCTTCATTGGGTTTTTGACCAAGAGGAGAATCATCAAAGTCTGATTCTAATCCTAATCCTAATTCCAAACCAAGAGAAGAATGAGAATGGTTCAAGTTTAAACCCAAAGTACGATCGTAGTCGTTGTCGTCGTTAACATGGGTATGATCGAACGAGTGAGAACATGACACCGAGGTACAATGATGATGATGATGATGATGATGATGATGATGATGATGATGATGATGATGATGATTATGATGATTGGGACGAGGTGTCGTTTTATAATCTTCCATTTGAGTAGTGTGAAAATTATCATCACCAACACTATCAATTTCACTGTGAATGGAAGATAGGGAAAAGTTCAAAGATGGTTTCAAGCCAAGAGGAAAATGACTCAATCCTTGTTCAAGTGAACGGATACGATCTTGTTGTTGAGAGATTATACGTAAGGCTGTGGAGATATCTGATAGGTTAATTTTTTTTGTGTCTTTGGGTTTTGACATGGATGGATGAGGAGAGGAGAGGAGTTGAATCTCGTGATGAGGGAAGAGGGAAGGGACAAGTCAGGGGAGAAGAGAAGGATGAGGGGTAGCAAGACCAAGATTAGAGAGGAGATGAAAGAGAGAAAACAATAAATGTCAAACTGACCGACAACATGATCATCCAATGTAATCTTCATCCCCATCATCCACCTCGCCGGCACTGACATGTCCATGTCACTCGGTCGACATGATAGGTAAAGGACATACAAGACCCAAAGGTGAGAACGTAAGAGGTGGTAACAAGTCGAATACCCTCACGACCAAAGCCCAAGAACCACGAGTCAAGGTATCTACTTTGAGGGAAGAACGGGAATAGACGCTGTGTTGATCGTCCGAGATGGGACGGATGGTTGGTTGATAGATGAGGAGTGGAACGGGTACGTCGATTGAAACGCATCATGTGTGGGCGTGGGTGATAATGGTAAAGTGCAGTGTTATCTAGCTGCCGTCTTATGTTGTTGTTGTACGTTGTATGTTGTAAGTTGTTATCCATGTTGTATGTTGTATGTTGTTATCCATGTTGTATGTTGTAAGTTGTTATTCATGTTGTATGTTGTAAGTTGTTATCCATGTTGTATGTTGTAAGTTGTTATTCATGTTGTATGTTGTAAGTTGTTATCCATGTTGTATGTTGTATGTTGTTATCCATGTTGTATGTTGTAAGTTGTTATTCATGTTGTATGTTGTAAGTTGTTATCCATGTTGTATGTTGTAAGTTGTTATCCATGTTGTATGTTGTATGTTGTTATCCATGTTGTATGTTGTAAGTTGTTATCCATGTTGTATGCTGTGCGTCTGCCACTTTGGTGAAAAGTGAAAAAGTGAAAAGTGGATTTTCAGAGAAAAGCAAGAATTCTGAATAACATCTATATTCACTACCTCTCTATACAACCACCACCACCATACAACATCCACCATACAACATCCACCATACAACATCCACCATACAAACATCCACCATACAACATCCACCATACAAACATCCACCATACAACATCCACCATACAAACATCCACCATACAAACATACACCATACAACATCCACCATACAAACATAACATACAAACATCATGGCATCGGACAATCTTCTGGAATACACCAGGGGTAAATCCCTATCAAAAGATACCAGTATTTCAAATTCCCCTACCTCCCCCAACTTACAGTCGCTCCTCATCTTATCCAACGGGCGAATCAAGGGAATACCGAGACGTCTATCCGTAATGTCATCACGGTCAGTTGGATCCACTCACTGTAAACGCTACCACTGACACATTCAGGTATGCCTCAATCACCCTCACTCCCGAGAGGAAGAGGGAGACTACGACGTAAAGTATAACCCCGTCACGGAACGTCTTTGGAATGATCTGGTACTTAGATGATATGGTACACGGTCACCATTCTCAGGTTATCCTATGTTGTGGTGAGAGGTATGTTATTCTGTCTAGATATTCACTTTGCCTATCTCCTTTCTCTCCGCTCCTCTTGACCTTTCTGTTTCCTTTCTGCGCTACCGTCTTTCGTTTCCTCCCCACCCTCTTTACTCGTTATCTCTCCTCGTCTCATTCCTCTCTCCTTTCCTTTCTCCCGATGTACTCATGCCTCATGTCTCATGCCTCATGTCTCGTCCTCCCCTCGTCACCGCAACAAGCAATCATCACAATTCACCTTGCCGCCTTGCCATCATCTTAACAACGTACAAACCGTGGGGTATCATTGCGTGAACGACATACAAGCCGACTTGACACTGACATATCTAGTGGCTCTGGGAAAACCCATTGGACCGGATTGATCCTCGACCGGCTTCTCCATCAAGAACATTCCACCTCGGCACTCGGTCTTGTTGATCCCGTCCTTGTTCAAGGAGATGGACAGCTGGGAGGAAACGTAAAGTATGGACTTACACTTGGACATTTGGTTCAAGCAGGATCTAAAGTCCTTGAAATGTTTGGTAATGCCACCACGGAACGTAATATCAATTCTTCTAGGTTTATAAAGCTTATCGAGGTATGTTATTCCACGGCTTATATCTCTCTCATCCCACAACACATGATTCAACGAAACTCCCTCTACTCGAATTCCCCCCCCCCCCCACATTGACTCAAGTATAAAATAAATAAAAAAACCGTGTATCCCCCTGACTCATCTAGGTAACCTTCGCCGTCCCCACCATTCAACCAGACCTTGATTCGGAACCCATTACCCCCAAACCTTATCGTGTCCAATATCAAGCCTTCGGATTCCAACTCGGTCAACTCCTCTCTAACACCAACCCCAATCTAGGGTTTCACGCATTGGTAAATCTACCACAGATGATAAAAGTTCATTTCGGACATTTAGGGATTCATACCGCCAGAGCATTCGTCAATCTCGCGACCGTACCCAAGCCCAACGTATCATCTTGCTCCAAGCCATCGACCGACTGTGTGTCCTAGTGAATGCTGCGGATGAGGAAGAATATAGAATTGTTTTTTTGGAAACACTTTGAAATGGATTGATGATGCTGTCAAATCTTTGTCAGGTCAGTCTCCTTGTTCAAAATCTTTGCGGAACAATTCTTTCCTCGTCTCATATCGTATGGAAAAGAAAACCTTTCTACTGTCGTATGAAAGAAATAAACTTGATCATTCCCTCATAATCAAATGATAAACTCTTTTCATCCCCTCATCATGCCCCTGACGTGAAAAGACTTGGGGGAGATTCTCTAAACGTCAAAACTTTATCTTTTCCCCCATTCAACCTGACGCTGATCATACAGAAATCCGTACCAGCGTCAAAGGAGGCGGTCCTAAATGGTATAAAAATAGGGGATTCCCATTGGATTTCCCAATTGCTTTTTTCTTACGTGTCAAACGGGTTCTTTCACCTTTGGATATTGTATCTTTCTCAACCACCACCGGCGACACATTTTCACACGGTATAGATGATGTCTCATTTGGATCTCAGGATTATCTCGGTTTAGCTCTTTCATCATTTTCCAATAATAACACCGACGAGCTCACTCACGACACTCACAACACCGACGAGCTCACTCACGACACTCACAACACCGACGAGCTCACTCACGACACTCACAACACCGACGAGCTCACTCACGACACTCACAACACTCACGACACGACACTCACAACACTCACAACGAACGAATCCGTCAACGTGAGTCATGCTTGAAAACACTGTCCAAATCCCTCAAGCTCGCCGCGGAAGAACGAGCGATAGGTTCGAGTTTGTCAATGGAGCAATGGGTAAAGTCGAATTTTGATATGGACGATTTGGATTGGTTGATTGATGGTTGTGGACATGTTTGGGAGATGTGAGAAGACGAGGCAAGATGTCGTGTCGTGAGTGGTGAGGGAAGGGGGTTGTAAGTTGCTGGTGGGTGGGTGGTGGTGGGACTGGGGTCCTCTCTCTCCTGGCGGTGGTGGTAGAAGGGGCGACTGGCGGTGGTGGTGAATGAGTGGGTGGGTGGGACTCAAACGACATGGCGAGATAATTTAGAAAACGAGCGAGTAAAAAAGTATGGAGGAACGAATTATCCGAACGAGTCAACCTGAAATACAATCCTATCGTCTTTCCTACATGACAACTTGTACCCCACTCATTCCTCATTCCCTGCTTTTTCTCTTCCTCTTCCTCTTCAACTGCTATTTATCGACCTCTCCTTTGCGTCAATCACTCGCTCGACCTATTCATACTCACTTTTCCGGCAGTTGACTACTCTCTCGCACAAATCTCTTTCCTCTTCTTCTCTCTAGTTACACTTTGCTTGCTCCATAACCGCTTATTCTCTCGACAAATAGTATTCCCTCTCACTCGTTGTCGATAAACATTCCGGAATTGTCCTTACTCTCACTCTCTCTCTCACACACACTTCTGCGCCTACTACCTCTCTCGACAGAGCTGGAAGGAAGGAAGGAAGAAAATGATGACGAATTGGTACGATGACGTTTATAAAACACTTTTATGATTATTAAACTTCAGAGACGTACATATTGAATTATTCACGATCTTACCATTCCACCTCTCGACGTATCATTCCCATCGACGTATTTTCGTTACGATCCGATATTATCCTTGACGTATCACATAATTCAAATATTTTCATTTCGACATGTCATCAATTTCAAATTTATTCCAACTGAAAAATTCTATCCTCCCTACGTATCGTACCAAAATCTATTCCTAATCTTCCCCCCATCCACATATTCCTGATCTTCTCCCTCTCCCCCTATTTCTGATCTTTTCCATCCCATACCATCTATTCGTAATCTTCTCGATACCATCTATTCGTAATCTTTTCCATACCATCTATTCCTGATCTTCTCGATACCATCTATTCTCAATCTTTTCGATACATTTCATCCATTCGATAAATCTGATGTGTCACCCGTCTCATTCCATTCCCATCAAAGACTATCCTGGACGTAGGTTTTTAACCTATCCGATATCATTTATATTTTAACATACCACCTCCGACAAACTCATTCCAATCAATAACATATTCATCAATATCCTCAAAATATGAACAATTCATTCCACCTCACCCCTATCCCCTCCGATATGATCCCTGACATCTTATCAGATCGACCGACCGACCAACCAAGCAAGCAACCAACCAAACTACCCACCCCGATCCAACGATGATTCCCCCGTGTGAATTTTCCTTTTCCCATCCTCTCACGATATACCCATAATGTCTAGCCGAAACCATTTTTGGTCATGACTGAAAGATGAATATATGATATACCGAAAACAAATTATAAATGATGAACCTTTTCATTTCTTCATTTCTCCATTGTCGCTTCTTTTCTTCTCATTTTTACGATTGTACAGTAAGTACTCTACTCGTGGACACGCGAGCCTCGAACGCACGCGATGTTCGAACATCTTTCATTTATAGATACCCGGTCACAAAACGTTTCATATCTCTACATGTATCTATTCTCCGGTCCTCAAATCTCACACACTCCTAGACGGACCTGCACTGCACTCCTTGCCAGACTTTGAAGTGTGTGTGTTCTTAGCCGATCGAGCTGCACGCTTTCTCCCTTCCCTCTTTGCTGTTTCTGTCTCTCACCTCTCTGCTAGTTCTTCCGCATGACTTTTTTGGTATGCTTGGTCCAATCTTTCACCATGTGGATACCTCTGTCTCTTCTTACTACCCCTAGCTGCCCTGTCTAATTGTTCTGACGCTTTCCGGAGCGCTTCATCCTTCTCATGCAGTGCCTTCTCTGCCACTAATTATTCAAGTCCGCTTCTTGTCTTTCTTGATGTTTTCCCAGGAGTAATTTCGCCACGTCTTATAGCTTGATCAAGAGCAGAGAGACTAGTAGTAGTTGTGGGAGTGATAGCTTCAGTTGGAGGGACAATTTGCAGAGGAGGTGTGACTGGGCGAGCCTCACAGAGTCCAACACTGATCCGTGTGAGGGGAAAGAGGTAGGATTTGGCCCAGTCTGAATTTGGTGTGTAGTTGTAGTTCTAAGCCAGGCTCGTTGATGCCAGCGATAAAAGAATGGTTTGGGGATGTGGTGTTCATCAGTACCGAGTTGATAGGTGTCGATCTGGTTATCGTACGTCTCTTTGAGTATTTCAAAGCAATCGACATCTAGCGGCTGGAAAACTTGGGATAAATGAGCAGGGAGGACAAGACAGGTATGTAATATTGTGTTCCCAGCAAGCATCTAGAAAGGCAACCGAGGTGTGACAGTCATGTCCATCAAGGATGAGCAAACGTGGATGTTCATTGGCGTGTTCCACGGTGTATGGGTCAAAACATCTGGTCAACCATTGAATCATCGTATAGGAATTGATTTATCCACTATCTGTTACCACAGCTTGCTGAATTGGAGTATCCTGTCGTACTTTAAACCAATCAGACATGAGATTTTTGCCAGGATAGATGAGGAAGGGTGGTACTGGGGCATCGGAAGTCGAGATGGTTGCGATGACACTGATGTGAGTATCGGTGGGAAGGGCTGCTTGTGACTTGATAGGAGCATCTCGAGGTGCAACTCTTCGTGTCCTTCGTCCACCAGCAAGGTCAAATCGAACTTTGTCCACGTTATACACATTCTCAGGATGATATTGACCAGCATCAAATGTTTCTTTTGCCTTTTTGTAACGGTACTGGAAACACAATGACTAGGTCGCAGGTTGGGTCGAACTCGATGGAACTCTCGTAGAGATCTATGTGCCTCTGGTGCTAGGTGATGGATCGTGTCTCCTCTGCAATCAATGTAGCCAAAGAATGATATTGAAGAATCAGCAAAGTTGGTACTTTGCTGATTATGCTATATACTGTCTACAGTCTCCGTGTCCCTGTTCCTCCTACTGCAAGCGTCTATGTACATTTTCGGACAGGTAAAAAACCGCTTTTGAGCAAACCCAGTGGGGAAATCTTGAAAAGGGAAAACCCGTCCCTACCTAATTGCAGCACTGCCTCTAGTTCCCGCCCTTCTCTTTCCTAATCTGTCGAACTCGATGGAGTTCTCTCGATTCGTTGCTACCCCGTAACAAGTTTCCCCCCCTGTATCACGGATCCTCGCCGAGGATCCTGAGTCCTGTATCCAGGTGCTTCACATGGATCACTCCGAGACACCTTTGGTGCACCCTGACGTCACACCTATACTAGTGTGACGGTTGCCATGAAACGTGTCACCCGCACGGACCTCCAATGTGATCGAGAAATTACTGACCAAGTCTCCTCCCTGTCTGTTTCTCTTCTTTCCTTCTCATTCCTTCTTCTCACCTTGTTTGTCGTTCTTTACATCCCATCTATTCCTTCTCTATCCATATCTTACTTATATCTTAGGGTATCATTACAACTCTCTCCTGTTTGTGAGCATGTCCAAGCGTACTGTAAGCAACTCCCGTCAAACTCGATGTACTTCTTCCTAATTCTCACTGGCTGACGAGATTAGTTGTCTCCTTCTACCTCTTCCCGTCAAACTCGTGCTTTTACCACAGCAATCCTACCTGACGTTGATCCCAAACTTCTCATGCGTCAGACGAAAAGGATGAGGATCTCGTCTCAAGCGTCCATTCCCCTTCAACCTTCCCTGGTTGATGCTTCTCAAAGGGCTCTCGACACCATTAAGGATCGATATCAATCCGGCTCTTCTCTTACTCAACCTTCCCCACTGCCGCCTCTGGATGATCAGCACGACTTCGACCAATACTTAGACTTCGAAGGGGGCGCCGGGCCATCCGCCACCGGCAAGAACCCATCTCCTGCAAAATTTGTCGAGTCCGAAAACGGCACCATCGTTGAGAATCCGAATTCTCCTGGTAACAAACCCGCTAACCCTCCTGCTGAAGCTTCCGACGAACTTGTGGAGGTTCCCAACGAGCTCGGAGACATCTTCCACGCCCCTCGCAAGGTTCCCATCAACGATGAACTTGTCAAGTTGCTTACCGCTCGAAAAGATTCCAAGATTGGTGAGATTTCCACCGAGTTCTGTCCTTTTCTGACTTGTTAGCTACCCTTTGGTCCAGCATGACCTTTTCTTCTGTCCGTCTTGCGTTGAAGAACGAAGCCCTTGATCGTTTCCGCGACACCAACGCCATCTAGCCCACTGTTAAGTGGTTTAAGAACGTGGTGAGCTCCATTTCCTTTCGAATTCCATTGACCCTGATAGTTAGCTCGATCGTTTGGCCCCAGGTTGGCGCCTTTGTAACAAGAATAGTGCTGTTGTGCGACTAGAGGGCGAGCTCTGTACCGGTTGTCAGCGTCACCTCGATGGTGGTGAAGATTTTTGTGTTGGTTGTATTGGTCCTCGTGAGTGTTCTGTTACTGTCTGTTCGATATTGATGCAATTCAGTCGGTGGTGTTTGCGGCGAGTGTTCTGCTAAGGGAACTTTGAAGTGTTGGGTCAAACACAGCAATCCCAAGCCCAAATTCCGCGTAGTATCTTTCTTCTTCCTTCAAACTTGATTGATGTTGATGTACAGGGTATTACCGTGGGAGCAAAGACGGTCACCTCCAAGGTTACCTCGTCCTGGAGCACGAACTCTGCGCCGTCTCAGCCCGTTATCGATCCCTTTCCTCCCAGAATCAATCCTCTTCTCTTACCCAACTCTCCGCCTACATCAATCTATTCTCCTCCCTTCTCCTTCCTCTACCCCCAGTTCATTTGGGCCTTTATAAGTCTCTCCATCTCATTTCTCCTGACCATGTCCCCCCTTCTCCCTCCGAAACTCTGGATCACCTCACCTCCTCTGGTAATCCTACTGGATTGAGTTCCTCCCAACCAGTCGCTGGTCCCTCCATTCTCCTCATACTCCGCTCCCACGAAATGTCATTGGTATTCCTGCTTCGGCTCGCCTTCGTTCCCGAGCTGATTCTATCGCCTCTGATATCTAGTGTGCACATATTTTTATTAAATTGTAGCTAATTTCTCTGTATATGCAATTATCCCTGTCCAATTTTCCTTGATACAGTC